GATATTCCAAGATTCGATCAAGGAACAAGGGATCATGTTTCACTTCCTACACATCCTCCAATTATTCTCCCTAACCCACAAGTTCGAAGCCTTGAAAAGTTCAAACTCACTTAAGCCCTTTTGGCAAGTAAACATGAAGAAAGAAAGGCAGTGTGTGCACATGTCCTAGAGATGAAGTCACACATTGATATGTTAAGAATGTTGGGATCCATTGTCTGTGAGGAGTTGGCTGTTGACTGGGTTCTTCAGTCGCTTCCTAACTCATATAGTGAGTTCGTAAGAGAGTACTATATGATGAACCACGACGTGACCCTTATAGATCTCACATACATGCTTATTGCTGCTGAATCATAAATGATTTGGCGCACTAGAAAAGCAAAGTTGATTGGTGGATATGCCTTACAGACCTCTATGGATATAGGCAATGGCAACAAACAGCATGGCATGATCGAAAAGTTTAATCATAAGAGAAAGGCAAAGTTTGAAGTAGTTTTGTGTGCTGTTCCAAAAGAGTCAATTTGCTTTTATTGTCAAGAGAATGGGCATTGGAGACGAAGCTGCCCTATTTACCTAAGAGATCTAAGAGATGGGAGAGTCAAAACATATGGATTTACTTTAGGTAAAATCCATTAACTAACTCTTTTAAGCTTCTATTCTAGATTTTTAATACATGACATGATAATATTACAATTGATGTTTTGTAGGATCGAAGAAAAGAAAGGAAGCTTAAGGGAAGAAGTGAGCTGAATCTAATCATGAAGAAATGGATTTCGATCGCATTGTTTGAAGATTAAAATTTTGAGATACTACTTGGAGTTAGAATAGATTACTATGAAATATGTATTAAGATAGTTTTCAATTGAATTGCATTGTAAGGATAACTTTTTCCGCAATAAAATAAAATTTTATTTTATATTATTTATTTATCCTTGCAATGGCGTGTATGAAAAACTGATGTTTGAATGTTTCTGTTATTAGCAATAATGGATTATGTTATTTGTGGAAATGTCGAGAATTTACCAAATAGGGAGAGTTTCTCATCGCCCAAGCTTCAAGTGGATAGAAACTTGGAATCATGCAACTTGGTTGCATGATGAATGAGAAATTTCATATTTGGAAATTAGACTAATTCGTTGACAAAGTGTCAAGTGAAGGACTAGAAGATCGAGCACACAAAGTTGTGTGTTGATCAAGTCCACCCCAAGAGTGACAAAGATATTCGTCATGATTTACTAAAGGTTTAGTAAATATGATTATACTTCTAAGATTAAGTGTAATTCTGAATTGATTGAAAGAGTTTCAATCAATAGCAGAACGAATAAGAAGAATCAAGTAGGCAGAAAGATAAAAGTTTCTCTATTCCAAGAAAAAGGGAGAGTACCTTTCATTATGTTATGATAGGTCTTAATGATTAGGAACCATATCTCAATTGATCATCTAAGTGAGTCTTAGTACAATTGTATGTCTGAGAAGAGGAATCAAGAATTGAAGAAATGGTTAAATCAATAAGTCAATCATACTTCGTTCCAAAACAAGTCTTAGAGTTAAGACTGTGACATTAAGTGACAAGTCTTAAGAAGGTTTATAACATTCATCAAATGTAGAATTTGGAAAGGGGTTTTCTTATTCTTGCACATTTGAATTTGGTAAGTTGTGATGTCTTAGATAAGACAAAAAACAACTAGGACCAATTATGTGAAGTGTTTTATCTTGATAAGAACTACACTAACTCTTGAATATTTGTTGACAAGAGAATCTTATATGTCAAGGAGTTAGTGGGAGTCTTAATGGTCTTGAAAAGTTCAAGAACTAATCAAGAATAAACCTTATCGATCATCACTAGCACACGACTTGAGGTTCACAACCTATCGTGTTGACACTATCTTGTTTCTGTGCCGTTCCAATTGAGTTAATTATGCATGTGAGTTCTATGAGTTCTCATTTGAACGCATAAAAGGCAAGCACCTTGATCAATGGAAAGTACATTGATAAGAAAGGGTGAGCTGCTTAACTACTTGGAAGACATAGTGGGCACTCGTGTTACCATAAGTCAAGAAATCAAGATCAAGAAAGTTCGGTCCATATGAGTTTGTAATTGTCTCAAACTTTGGTTTTGACAAGTTCGCATGGATAGGAACACATACACCATTAAAATCTAAGTGTCATAAGATTACCTCCTTCATGAAAATAACTTTGACCAAGGTTTTAACCTTGACTTTTACTTGGACTTGAGTTTACCATTATAAGATTTATGAGTATGAAATGGTAATTTAGAAAAGGATGTTGTGTAGAGATCGAGGAGTCGATAAGAGTTGATTTCCATACCGAGGACAATGTAGACACTACACGACATCGAGATGAGTTACCTTCCAGTATAAGAGGGTTTAAGGCACCAAGGCCGACCCCCTAGTAGTCGATTATAGTTGAGATGATTGTCTTTGTGATGATTGTCTGGTTTGCTACTACCTAATGTGTTCTATGTGCCAATATGATATGATATGTATGATAATGGTAGTAGTAGGGGAATAGTCCCCCGATTCGGTCGTTAGGACCGAAGGGTAGGTCGGACACCCCGGATATGTCTAACAATATGAATATGATATGTTATTATGTGGTGGTATTAGGGGTGAAATAGTCCTTGTGACCGGGTGAAATAAACCGGAGGGTAGGCAGGCAACCCATAATGGCCTGACACGGGTAAGCCAGCACCCCATAATGGCTTGACATGGATAGGTCAACACCCCATAATGGCTTGACATGGGTAGGTCAGTCATCCCATAATTGTATGGCAGTGTGTATGATTGTATGGTATATGGTATGATGGGGGAACTCACTAAGCTTTATGCTTACGATTTTCAGTTTTGGTTTCAGGTACTGATATGTGTATTTTTAGATATATTTTTATGCACTTTATCTTAATATTTTGGCCTTATTTATTCTATTTTAGAACTAAAGAGTACTCATAATGCTTTGAATTATGTTTTGCAGCTATTTGCTGTCAATAAAGCACAAGAGAAAAGACTGAAGCGGAAACTGGGCTTAGAAGCTAAAAGAAAGAAAAGGGTGCTGAGGTCGCGAGTACGCCCCGCATACCTTAAGGTTACGCCCCGCGTACCTGCTTGCATCGGATAGACTTAATCGCGTGATTATCCATAGTACGCGCTGCGTAATCCATAGTACGCCCAGCGTACTTAGGTCGGCCACAAAGATTATAAATGTCGATTTTTAGCTAACCAGGAGGGGGGATTCGACTTCTAACCTAATTTAGTCGACAATTAACTTCTGTTAAGCCGTTTTGAGGGTCTAGAAGGCGGCCGGAAGGCCGTTAAGCTAACGGGAGCAGAGATCTGAAGGATTGGAGAGCAGATACATGTCGGTAATCATATGGATTGCTAACGTGACCATGTTTAGCACTTCCTTGTGGTACTTTTTGTATTTAGTTTCTGATTTGGGTGTAAAAACCTTTTACTTTGTGTTTATGATTGAATGAAGTTTTGATTCTTAGACTAATTGTTATGTTAAATAATTTATTTGTGTTTAATTTATCTTGCCAAGCTTGTTCGAAGATCCTCATGTGTTAATGATGATTATTTTATGTTAATTGTTAAGTGAATTGAGTTGTATGAACATATACTTGATTGCTTGTCTCTTATGATTTTGATGACCATCGAGATTATAAGTCTAGGAGTAACGAATGTGAAACTAGGATTAGCATGGAAATAAGTAAGTTAATGTGTGAGCCTTGTTTGATGATCATCAACAAGACGTTAATTGAATGTTTAATTTGGTTAACTAAATTTACAAGTCTTGCTTGATACGAACTGAACACTAGGAAGCATGTTAGTTTAACCAATTGATCACTGTTTGAATTGACTTGTTTTCTAAAGGATTAGTTATAGTGAACGCGAATCTAATCATTTTAGGAATCGGTGAACATGAATAAATGAATTTGTGTATGCAATTGTCTATGTTTTTAAGGTGTAATTTGTCTAAACCAAAGTACCTGAAGAGATTTGCTTTCCTGTTAGTTTATCGAGAGTAGTTAATTAATTGTTAGTTTGAGATTTATTTCTTTATTCTTTTCGTGTAACCTGTAACCTATAATCAAATATATTAAATTAATCCACCGTTCCCTGTGATCGACACCCAACTTACCTAAGCTATACTGTAATCTGACTAGGTACACTGCCTATAAGTGCATAGTTAGTCTAAGTTTGTTAGGTTATAAATATTAAAATTAATGGGTACTTTCGTGCACATCAAGTTTTTGGCGCCGTTGCCGGGGAACGGCTTGTCATTAATTTATTTTATTTGATTATTCGTTATTTGTTTTTAGTTAGTTTTCATTTTTTTAGTTTGATTTTCGATGATATCATGTCACTTGTCGGGAAGGTTCTTGTTTTTATTTTGCAGGAATTTGGGATTGTACACATTGCTTGACTTTACTTTTTGCATGGGTTTCGAGAATGAAAGCGATTAGGGAATTCTTGACCTGCTTAGCCTACTACTTTGTTGATTTGTCCAACTCAATCCATGAGGCGTAGTATAGCAAGGCGTATTGTGGTGGTTAAGTGGAAGACCGAGCTCTTGCTGTTCTTGACTAGTTAGGTCACTTCTTGTTCCGCTTCTAGTTAAAGGTGCAAGGAAAACAAAGGAAATATTCTAACGGGTCCCGAAAGTGGGTGTTTTCGCAAACCAATTCTTGCATGCAAAGGTTTTTGATCAACCATTGTTGTTTGATCTTGACAAAGATAAGTGATTATGACATCTCAATTTTTTTTATTTTATTTTATCACTCATCGTGAAGTCATCATTAGCTTAAGAAATTAAAAAAAATAAAAATAAATAAATAAATAAATAAATAATAATTAATTTAAGTCCCTAGATTAAATAATTAAAAAGAAAAGGAAATTAAATTAAAGGAAATTTGGAAATTTTCAAATACCATTACGCCCCGCGTAAATTATTTTACGCCATGCGTAATAAGACCCGAATCGCGGATGAACATCTCCGGGTGTTGGGGTTACGCCCCGCGTACCCTTGTGTTACGCCCCGCGTATGTCGGCGACCAGGTATACATCTTGACCTTTTGACTTCGCTGTTATTTTCAAAACCAATTCCTCTCGCGCACGAACTGTGACGGCAACTTTCTCAAAAAGATTCTCGATTCTTTTTCGTTTCTTGTTAAATCCACCACACAAGTAAGTATTTCGGATACTCAATAGCTTGGATTTATGTTTAGTTTGATGAAATAAGCTGCATTTAGCTTTTGCTCGAAATCTAGGGTTCATAGTGTTCTTGAATTAGGGCCGATTTCGCTATTATGTGTTCTGATTACAGCTTGAATGGACAGATTTTGGTTAATAAACTAAACCCTCGAGCTTAATTTCGTCTCAATCCCGTCCCACGCCATCGATTTGAGCTTGGGGTCGTACGCCAAGCGTACCCCTGTGACTTCGAGTTCTTGACTCTGGCTTCGATTTTTGACTGCTATACATGTTTCCTGTTAAATGTTTTTTTTAGGGATTGGTTCATATTTTTTTAGGAGATCCCGATTTTCTCCTACTGTCTTGGACCACACAGTTGGTTCCTTTGGACCACGCGATGTTTAAAAATTAATTGTGTTGATGCCCCTGCTGTGTCTATTTGGATACGGATTATGAATTTAGCACAAGAAAGGGACTGGGACCAGGACACAGAATCACAAGCCTGGACATACGGCCAGTGTACGCTGGATGAACGCCCAGCGTAATGCCATATCCACCCCCATTTTTTTTGGTTTAAAAATCTATTAATGCTGCCATATTTTGTTGGTTTTATGTTTTTGCAGATTATGGCTCGAAGGGCACAAAGAACCAACCCTCCCGAGGATGTGACCGATCATCGCTTTTTACAATTTTCGCAAACACTGAGCGATGCTACCAAGGCGCGTTATAGCACCAACTTGAGCCTGCTTCTCACAAAGGAGATTGATATTGCACCCTCTTTCGACTGGGAGTTGGCTACCAGGACTGGACTTGCTGCATTGATCTAGGAATTTTTGCAATACACACACTCGGACGCGAGTGGTGTGGAATTGTTTGTGTGTCAGGGATGGGCGCGTTTGTTCAGGATCCAGGAGCCGGTATATCGAGAGTTTTTGCTGGAGTTCTATGCTACAGTTTCCTATGATCCTAGGAAGCCACTCAATGACAGGACAGCCTTTGCTTTCAGACTGGGAGGAGTGAGCCGGGAATGCAGCGTGATAGAGCTTGCTACTCGGGTGGGTATTTACACAGCCGATGAGACAAGGAGTGTCCACTTCCCGACATTTCTTGCTGACTGTCTCACGGAGCGGCCGGAGGACTACAATGAGAACACTTTTTGGGCCGAGATTACGGGAGGAATTTATACACCATCTACCGCTCGAGGGGGGATGATTCGGTCTACTACATACTGAATGTTGCACCGGTTGATTTCTATGTCTCTCACGCATCACAAGAATAGCGAGAGAGTGCCTTCGACGGACCTGTATTTCCTATGGGCACTAGTTACTCCAGGGAGGCACCTGAACCTTCCAGTTGCTTTAGCTGCATACTTGGGACGGAGGGCCAGGGGACTTCGGGGAGATAGCCCGATATGCGGAGGGCATTTTATCACACGATTAGCTCGATCATATCAGTTGATGACACGTGAGATCACGAGATCGATGGTGTTTCACGACATGAGGCCAATGAGTCTTCAGCTATTGGAGTCGATGCGCGTATTAGAGCGGGGCGGAGATGGTGTTTTGAGGGTTCGAGCAGATGATGTGGCGGATGAGGAGGGTGCCGCCGAGCCACAGCCGAGACGGGTCCCGCGGCGTAGACCTGCTCCTTTGGGGAGCGCGGCAGGGACCTGAGCCGGAGATTGATATGCGCTATTTAGCTCAGGGCATTGATCGTCTTGACTTGAGGGTCCAGAACCTTAGCGAGTATGTTGCACATGTGGACGCGCAACAACAACGGTGGCAAGGGAATGCGTTGAATGCATTCTTTGCCCATCAGGGATTTCAGTATTCGGTTTCCTTTCCACCACCATTCCAGTCACGATTTGACGGGGCCGGTACTTCTGGGACACAGCCACATGATGATGGAGATGACGAGTGATCCTTTTTTATTTTGTTTATTTGTTTGTTTTGTGTTAATTTTAGTTTAAGTTTAGTTTTTAGTATTTGGTATGTAATTAAACTTTGATTTAGTTTGTTTTCAGCAGCTAGGTCCGACTGTTGCTAGAGAGAGTCATGTGAGAGTTCGAAGGTTACAATCAAGACCCACAATTTGTCATAAGTGTGGGGTGCATCTTTATTAGAGTTGTATTTCGATGCAAGGAAGAAATATCGTTCCAACTGATACGACGTGGTTGACACTTTCCCACGTCATGGTTATTATACATTGCATCTAATTGCAATATTTTGTACCACATTTTCGAAGATGGCGGTCTTGATTTTATTTTTCGGCAAATTTAGAAGCAGCAGTTCCAGTTTTCAGTTTTTCAGCAGTATTTGAAGCAACCTGTAGCAGCCCCATTCGATCTCGCCACAACTACTCAGGGGAGTCTGTTCCTTTTTCTCCCTTTTTATGTTCTTAATTTTTGTTAGCATACAATGAGGGCATTGTATGAAATAGGTGTGGGGTAGGGGGTCGGTAAAAGTAAATTATAAAAATGAAATAATAGTTGGAAATTGCTAGATTTAGGGAAATTTAAAAATTTAAAAGAAAACTTGAAATAATAGTTTAATTTAGAAAAATCTAGTGATAATTTAAAATTTTGCTAATATTGTATGAGATGATCCGATGAGAACTCAAATGTTTAGTTGAGCCAATATACGTTATAGTGCATTTGTGGCTTCCCTTATTTTAGTGAAATCATGGAACAAAAACATAACCCCGCTCGGTTTGAAGGATGCAATATGTTTAGCAGCCTAAACCTGAAATGTATCCAGGAGAATTATTATCATTAACCAATAAAGGTTGAGGTTGAGCGCCTCTGCTTAAGCATGTAGGTTTTGAGTGAAAAAAGAGAGGTACATGTAAAAAAAAAAAGAGAATTACGAAAAAGTTTGAAGAATTTTGGAGCAAATAAAGTGAAGATCAAAAGATCAAAATTCTGAAGAAATCCAAAAAGTTGAAGATACCAAGAAATCAAATCAAATAAGGTGGTGAATTCAAAGAAATCAAAGATCAAATTGTTCAGAGAAATGAAGAATTCAAAGAAAGCTCCATAGTGGTATCATAAATTGTAATTCTAGATTATGTATGCTTAGGTTGCTCAACTAAAAATACCTTGAGGTTAGGAGGTTTTCTGAGGATGGATTCGGAGGGTTGCATAAAATGAGCATTGTTCGGAAAAAGTGGGCAAGTGTTTATGAAGATTGTGAGTATTTAAAGTATGGGGGGTACTTAGGAAAATTTTAGACACAAATGCATGCGTTGAGGTCTTGGCATAATGGCTGAGTTTTAAATGGATTGTTTAGTGCGATATTGGTAAAATAAAAGTAAATTTGCTTGGGGGCAAGCAAAGGCTAAGTGTGGGGTATTTTGATATGTGTATTTTTAGATATATTTTTATGCACTTTATCTTAATATTTTGGCCTTATTTATTCTATTTTAGAACTAAAGAGTACTCATAATGCTTTGAATTATGTTTTGCAGCTATTTGTTGTCAATAAAGCACAAGAGAAAAGACTGAAGCGGAAACTGGGCTTAGAAGCTAAAAGAAAGAAAAGGGTGCTGAGGTCGCGAGTACGCCCCGCGTACCTTAAGGTTACGCCCCGCGTACCTGCTTGCATCGGATAGACTTAATCGCGTGATTATCCATAGTACGCGCCGCGTAATCCATAGTACGCCCAGCGTACTTAGGTCGGCCACAAAGATTATAAATGTCGATTTTTAGCTAACCAGGAGGGGGGATTCGACTTCTAACCTAATTTAGTCGACAATTAACTTCTGTTAAGCCGTTTTGAGGGTCTAGAAGGCGGCCGGAAGGCCGTTAAGCTAACGGGAGCAGAGATCTGAAGGATTGGAGAGCAGATACATGTCGGTAATCATATGGATTGCTAACGTGACCATGTTTAGCACTTCCTTGTGGTACTTTTTGTATTTAGTTTCTGATTTGGGTGTAAAAACCTTTTACTTTGTGTTTATGATTGAATGAAGTTTTGATTCTTAGACTAATTGTTATGTTAAATAATTTATTTGTGTTTAATTTATCTTGCCAAGCTTGTTCGAAGATCCTCATGTGTTAATGATGATTATTTTATGTTAATTGTTAAGTGAATTGAGTTGTATGAACATATACTTGATTGCTTGTCTCTTATGATTTTGATGACCATCGAGATTATAAGTCTAGGAGTAACGAATGTGAAACTAGGATTACATGGAATAAGTAAGTTAATGTGTGAGCCTTGTTTGATGATCATCAACAAGACGTTAATTGAATGTTTAATTTGGTTAACTAAATTTACAAGTCTTGCTTGATACGAACTGAACACTAGGAAGCATGTTAGTTTAACCAATTGATCACTGTTTGAATTGACTTGTTTTCTAAAGGATTAGTTATAGTGAACGCGAATCTAATCATTTTAGGAATCGGTGAACATGAATAAATGAATTTGTGTATGCAATTGTCTATGTTTTTAAGGTGTAATTTGTCTAAACCAAAGTACCTGAAGAGATTTGCTTTCCTGTTAGTTTATCGAGAGTAGTTAATTAATTGTTAGTTTGAGATTTATTTCTTTATTCTTTTCGTGTAACCTGTAACCTATAATCAAATATATTAAATTAATCCACCGTTCCCTGTGATCGACACCCAACTTACCTAAGCTATACTGTAATCTGACTAGGTACACTGCCTATAAGTGCATAGTTAGTCTAAGTTTGTTAGGTTATAAATATTAAAATTAATGGGTACTTTCGTGCACATCAGGTACCTCTTCGTCTAAGGGGAATGAGTCGACAGGATAGCAACGCATCGCACACACATGATTCCGCATTTTAGAACCCTGGGAATTCTACTCTGACATTATATTATGTGACATTATGTTTTTTGGGACATGTAACTATGGATTGTGGTTTGATGTGATATCAATAATGTTTTTCCTCAAAAAAATTTACAAGTAATGTAATTAAAAACACAAAAACTTTTGGTCTCTATTTTTGGGATGTTACAAGTTGTTATCAGAGCCTTGGTTTAAGGGATTCGGGCACACCTTCAAGGGTGTATGGACTCAAATCGAGGGCTTGAATTTTTTTACAAGAAAACAGTTTTCTAAAATATAAAACAAGGAGTTTTGGGAAAGAATAAGGTGTGTGATGCGTGCGTCCGACCGAGCTCTAGTAAGTTTTCCCCAAGATACCCATACATGATATGTTATGTTCTATGATATGATTATGAGAACTACATGCTAGGCTAGGGCTAAGGATCTAGGGAGGATACCTAGTATGCCGGTTATGTGATTATGAGAATTGCATGCTAGATTATGGCTAATGATCTAGGGAGGATGCCTTATATGCTTATTGTATAAGTTTATGGAGCTATATGCCAAGGCTGTTTAGTCAGCAGTATGATAGCCTGATTAGGTTATGTTTGGTTTGGTTACTCGATGCACGAATGTTGCTTGCTTTGTGCTTATAGGGGTTCTAGCTAGCTTTCACTAACTAGTAAGTGAACATGTAATTGTATTCGCAAGATGGTTAGAGAAAGATAGTAGGGACTCCTTGTGCAACTGATGGCGGAGAGTAGGTTGGAGAGTACCCTAGGATGAGATTAGTTTGGAAAGCAGTATTAGTAGAAGGGACTTGGTGAAGTCGAAGCAATCCTTGAGGAAAGTACGGATATAGGTGGAAGGTAGTATAGGCCCGTACTACTGGAAGAAGATGATCCATACTTTAATCAAGGATGGATAAGATAGAACCAGGAAACTTAGAGAGTGTGTGAGACCTCTCAAGAGTATGTTTGACACTGACATTTATGTGTTTTGTTTCGGAATGGTGATTACCTGTAACATCCCAAAAATTATGGGACAAAAATTTCATTTTTAATTAAGTGATTTGCAAAACGTTTGTAACAAAATATCATTCGACCATATCATTTAATAAAACATGCCTCGCGTTTGTAAACCATAACGTAAATCATAATAATATCATAGTATAAATCCCAAAATGTCTCATAGTGCGGAAAAACAAGAGCGTGTGTGTGATATGCCGCTACCGCGCCGACTCCTTCCCCTTGGCTGAAGAGGTCTGAAACAAAAACTAAAAACCGTAAGCACGAAGCTTAGTGAGTTCCCCCATCGTACCGCATACCAAATAACCACATAACATACAAATATTGTCAGTCATATTTGGGTGCCTGACCTACCCCTTCGGTCCTCTCGACCGAATACTGACTAGCATATATGGGTGCTAGTCTCCCCTTCGG